TTTATTGAAGTTGATTAGAGGGATATGGATCACAGCATTGGGAAACGTGTGATTTGCTTCCCCGAGAATGCGTTGTACTGTTTTTCCTAAGTGCGCCCGGTTTACTCGTTCCCTGTTGTTTAGGCCAAAGGATAGGATTATTTGTTGCACTTGTGAAGACGTCGGAGTTTTGTTTCTGATGATGTGGTAGGCGTGTTCTAGTTTTGCCCCTGGGTAGCTGATTATTTGTAAATTTCCATTGTTGATGGGGGGGAAGGTGGCAAAGGTTTGAGTTCCTCCCCCAAAAAGAATGGGTCTTTCTAGAGTCAGTGACCAGTTTTTATATTCATCTCCCCCATGTTCCTGTCTTTGTTGAATGCTACAGATTGGAGGCTGGGTCTCTGTCTGGAGGTCAGCCATGTGTTCCACTCTTCTTGTGGAGCTTGAGGGTTTTGATGATTGAAGGGGGAGTTGTGTTCTCTGGGTTGGAGTGTGAGACCAATAGGTTTGGTCTGTAAAATCCAAGCGTTTCCTTATCAAAGGTGGAGGTGTTTCAGAAGTTAATGCTTTTTCAGGTGGTGCCCTTTTGCTGGATAGTGGTGTTAGTAAAGACTGAGAGCGTTCCACATTGTGGATGAGTGAAAGGGTTGCCACTTCATTTTTGTGTATTTTGTGTTCTGCATTGTGGCGGATTTAGTGATTTTATTTGACGAATTATAAAGAAAAATATTCATTTGATAATTTTCCCATTTAGTTCAAACATCCTGAGTGTGACTTTTTTCCCCCACACTAACATACAACAATATATCAATCCAATTAAATTTTTTAGTTGTAAAGCTAGCAAGTGTTGACAACCGTACAAAGTCTCATGCCATTTCGATAAAGGGAATTTTTTTTTTTATTTCAGCAAATATAATTTAGCATTAAAAAGACCCTGAACAGCTTAGAAGGGTTAGGTGAATCTGCATGTAGTATTTAAGGGATGCATTATAGGCAAGGCAAGTTTATTTATATAGCACATTTCACACACAATGGTAATTCAAAGTGCTTTACATAAAAGGAATTAAAATTAAATTATAATCATTAAAAAATAATAAAAACTTTTAAAATAAACTGATAAATTTATTTAAAATGAATTAAAACAGTTAAGAATAGAAAAAGATTATACATAAAATACAGTGCAATCATTTCGGATGTAGCACAGTGCTCATTTACTAAATGCACAGCTAAACATATGAGTTTTGAGTCTGGATTTAAATGTGGCTAATGTTTTAGCACATCTGATCTCTTCTGGAAGCTGATTCCAACTGCGGGCGGCATAATAACTAAAAGCAGATTCCCCTTGTTTTGTGTGAACCCTTGGTATTTCTAACTGACTTGATCCTAATGATCTGAGTGGTCTGTTAGGCTTATATAATTGTAACTAAGCAGTTTTCTCCTTGTTTAACTGAAGAAAGTTTTGGCTCATCTAACTGTTTATTTCATCAATTAAATCTGGGTGTTATCTGCATAGCTGTGATAGGCAATTTGGTTCTTTCTCATTATTTGACTTAGTGGGAGCATGTACAGGCTAAACAAGAGTGGTGTAAGAATTGATCCTTGTGGGACTCCGGATTTTAATGGACGTCCACTTAGACTTATGCTCTCCTATACTCACATAATAACCTCTCCCTTCTAAGTATGACCTGAACCATTTGATTACCATCCCAGAAAGCCCGTCCAGTCCAGTCTCTCAAGAAGTATGTTATGATCAACCGTGTCAAACGCAACACTGAGATCTAGTAGTACCAGCACTGATATTTTGCCAGAATCAGAATTTAAGCGAATATCATTTATCTTTATGAGTGCTGTCTCTGTGCTGTGATGCCGTCGAAAACCAGATTGAAAATTGTCCAGGTATCCATTTGAGTTTAAGTAGTAGTTATTCTCCTTGTTTAACTGAAGAAAGTTTTGGCTCATCTAACTGTTTATTTCATCAATTAAATCTGGGTGTTATCTGCATAGCTGTGATAGGCAATTTGGTTCTTTCTCATTATTTGACTTAGTGGGAGCATGTACAGGCTAAACAAGAGTGGTGTAAGAATTGATCCTTGTGGGACTCCGGATTTTAATGGACGTCCACTTAGACTTATGCTCTCCTATACTCACATAATAACCTCTCCCTTCTAAGTATGACCTGAACCATTTGATTACCATCCCAGAAAGCCTGACCCAGTTTTCCAATCTCTCTATTAGTATGTTATGATCAATGGTGTCAAACGCAACACTGAGATCTAGTAGTACCAGCACTGATATTTTGCCAGAATCAGAATTTAAGCGAATATCATTTATCTTTATGAGTGCTGTCTCTGTGCTGTGATGCCGTCGAAAACCAGATTGAAAATTGTCCAGGTATCCATTTGAGTTTAAGTAGTAGTTAAGCGGATTAAAAACAACCTTTTCAATAATCTTGCCTATAAAAGGTAGATTTGATATTGGTCCGTAGTTACTCAATATGGTGTTATCAAGATTGCTCTTTTTCAGGAGGGGCTTAACAACTACAGTTTTCAGGGAGTTTGGAAAAGTCCCAGAGAGAAGTGAGGCGTTCTAAGAGATCTGCTTCTAAACAGTTTAACACACTTTTGAAAAAATATGTGGGAAGTGTGTCAAGGTCGCAGGTTGATGATTTAAGGTGCTGTACTATTTCTTCCCAAATTTTGCTATCAATTGCTTCAAAAACAGACATAGTAACTGCTTTTTGAAATTGCGGTCGAATCTGTCTGACCTCTGCATGACTTAAAGGATGTGCTAATCGCCTTTCTAATATTACTGATTTTCTCAGTAAAGAAGGAAGCAAACTCATTGCATTTGCTATCGGAGAGCATTTCACTGGCAATCTGACTTGGGGGTGGGGGGGGGGGGGGGGGGTTTGTTAGTCTCTCAACAGTAGCAAAAAGAGTGTGAGTGTTGTTTAAGTTAATGTTTATAAGGTTTGAGAAGAATGAATGTCTAGCTTTGCCAAGTTCCACATTGAAAGCACAAAGGCTGTCTTTATAAATGCCATTGTGAATTTCAAGTTTAGTCTTCCGCCACATCCGCTCAGCTTTTCTGCATCGTTAGTCTCTCAACAGTAGCAAAAAGAGTGTGAGTGTTGTTTAAGTTAATGTTTATAAGGTTTGAGAAGAATGAATGTCTAGCTTTGCCAAGTTCCACATTGAAAGCACAAAGGCTGTCTTTATAAATGCCATTGTGAATTTCAAGTTTAGTCTTCCGCCACATCCGCTCAGCTTTTCTGCATCGTTAGTCTCTCAACAGTAGCAAAAAGAGTGTGAGTGTTGTTTAAGTTAATGTTTATAAGGTTTGAGAAGAATGAATGTCTAGCTTTGCCAAGTTCCACATTGAAAGCACAAAGGCTGTCTTTATAAATGCCATTGTGAATTTCAAGTTTAGTCTTCCGCCACATCCGCTCAGCTTTTCTGCATCGTCTTTTCATACACTGTACTGCTGTTGATTTTTACCAGGGTGCTTTTTGTCTGCCAGTCTTCTTAATGACTTTTGCAGGAGCAATATCATCAATAACATTCATAACTTTTGAGTTAAAGGAATCAATGAGTAGATCAACAGAGTCTGCAGAAATGCTTGGTGTTAAAGATATAGCCTTCATAAATATCACACTAGTGTTCTCGTTAATGCATCTCTTTCTGACAGAGACAGATCTACATTCAGTGGTAGCAGAGATTAATATATCAAATAAAATACAGAAGTGATCAGATAGTGCTATGTCCTTAATAACAATGGATGAAATGTTTAGACCCTTACTGATGAGTAAATCTAGGGTGTGTCCACGATTGTGTGTGGGTCCATGCACATGCTGAATCAGGTCAAAAGTATTTAAAACCATTATAATTTCTTTTGTAGCATTGATTTCTGCATCATCTATGTGAATATTAAAATCCCCTGCAATAGCAAAACAGTCGAACTCTGAGGAAATCATTGATAACAGTTCTGTAAACTCTTTAATAAAGGCTGGAGAGTATTTTGGAGGCCTGTAAATAATGATAAATAGGATGCGTGGAGCACCTTTCAGCACAATCCCTAGATATTCAAAAGACAAGTACTGACCAAATAACACTTGCTTGCGTTGATAGACATCTTTAAATAGAGCAGCTACACCTCCATCTCTCCTAACAGTCCTGCAGACACTCATGGAAGTAAAGTTAGGAGGGGCTGTTTCATTGAGGACTGTTGCACTGCAGCTGTCTTCTAGCCATGTTTCGTTTAAAAACATAAAATACAAGTTGTTTGTGGTGATTAAGTCATTGATCAGAAATAGTTTGCAGAGGTTTAAAAATGCTAACTTCATGGCATTGGTTTACGATTATATCGTAAACTCTTCCCACACTGACCAAATATAAATGTTTCTCCCCAGTGTGAATTTTTATGTGGCTTTAAGATGTCCATGTGGATCTAAACTCATCCTCTCCAGTGTGAATTGTCTTGTGCTTGTCAAGGATTTCTTTTCGGCTGAAACTTTTTCCACATTGTTGACAGGTGAAAGGCTTCTCTCCAGTGTGAATTCTCATGTGGACTTCAAGGTGTCCTTTTTGAGTGAAACTCTTACCACACTGAGTGCATGTGTAAGGCTTCTCTCCGGTGTGAACCCTCACATGGGCTTTAAAGTTTCCATGTCGATCGAAACTCTTTCCACACTGAGTGCATTTGTAAGGCTTCTCTCCAGTGTGAACTCTCATGTGGACTTTAAGGTTCCAATGTTGATCAAAACTCTTTTCACACTGAGGGCATGTGTAAGGCTTTTCTCCAGTGTGAATTCTCATGTGGACCTTAAGGTTTCCATGTTGTTCGAAACTCTCTCCACATTGAGGGCATGTGTAAGGCTTCTCTCCAGTGTGAATTCTCATGTGCCTGGTAAGGCTTCCTTTTACAGTGAAACTTATTCCACACTGTTGGCAGGTAAAAGGGCTCTCACCAGTGTGAACTCTCATGTGATAGTTAAGGTTTCCTTTTCGGCTGAAACATTTTCCACACTGTTGACAGGTGAAAGGGCTCTCTCCAGTGTGAACTCTCATGTGGACTTTAAGATTCCCATATTGATCAAAACTCTTTCCACACTGAGGGCATGTGTAAGGCTTCTCTCCAATGTGAATTCTCATGTGCCTGTTAAGGCTTCCTTTTTGAGTGAATATGTTTCCACACTGTTGGCAGGTAAAAGGGCTCTCTCCAGTGTGAAGTTGTAGGTGGACCTGAAGGTTTTCATGTTGACTGAAACTCTTTCCACACTGAAAGCAGGCAAAATAACTTGTTACCATCTTTTGAGATATCTTTCGTGAGGAAGTATTTTCAGTCTGTGAGCAAGTAAAAGATTCATCTCCAGTTAGGAAATCATGATGTTTATCATATTGATCTTCCTCTTCCATATCAGTCAGCATGTCACTCTCCTCTTTCAATGGCATCAGTTCTAAAGTGAAAAAGAAACAAAAATGTTAACCCCAGTTTAATGGCACTAAGCAAAAGGCATCAAAACTAACAACATACAGCTAGAACCTGTACTCACTAAGCCATCCAACCCTCTAAGTTTTCAACCCTGTTCCTGGAGTTACCCCAGCATTGCACATTTTGCATGTCTCCTTAATCAAACACACCTGACTGAGGTCATCAGCTCTTTAGCAGAGACACAAAGACCTGGAATGTGTGTGTTAGAGAAGGTATACCTTGAGAAAAAAAGAAAAACTGGTTCTGGGATTTTTGCTCACAGTTCTTGTGATCATTTTGACCCCACGGGGTGAGATCTTGCGTGGAGCCCCAGATCGAGGGAGATTATCAGTGGTCTTGTATGTCTTCCGTTTTCTAATAATTGCTCCCACAGTTGATTTCTTCACACTAAGCTGCTTACCTATTGCAGATTCAGTCTTCTCAGCCTGGTGCAGGTCTACAATTTTGTTTCTGGTGTCCTTTGCCAGCTCTTTGGTCTTGGCCATGGTGGAGTTTGGAGTGTGACTGTTTGAGGTTGTGGACTGGTGTCTTTTATACTGATAACGAGTTCAAACAGATGCCATTAATACAGGTAACGAGTGGAGGACAGAGGAGCCTCTTAAAGAAGAAGTTACAGGTCTGTGAGAGCCAGAAATCTTGCTTGTTTGTAGGTGACCAAATACTTTATAAGCCTTGGCAGATGGTCGAGAACACAGCAGCATGCCTGATCTTCAATCACCCGAAGACAAACCACATCACACTCCTCCTGATCTCACCCCACTTGTTCCCAGTTGCGGTCAGAATAATATTTAACATTTCAACACTGGCGTTCAGGATTCCCACTGCAACAGCACCTCCTACCTCAATTCACTGTTTGAGGTTGTGGACAGGTGTCTTTTATACTGATAACGAGTTCAAACAGATGCCATTAATACAGGTAACCAGTGGAGGACAGAGGAGCCTCTTAAAGAAGAAGTTACAGGTCTGTGAGAGCCAGAAATCTTGCTTGTTTGTAGGTGACCAAATACTTATTTTACCGAGGAATTTACCAATTAATTCTTTAAAAATCCTACAATGTGATGTTCTGGATTTTTTTTCTCATTTTGTCTCTCATAGTTGAGGTATACCTATGATGAAAATTACAGGCCTCTCTCATCTTTTTAAGTGGGAGAACTTGCACAATTGGTGGCTGACTAAATACTTTTTTGCCCCACTGTACATGGTGAGGAAGGGAGTTTAAGTGATATCAGCTAATCTCTGGGGTGTCTCAAGGTTGAGTGCACAGTTCTCTTTACTTCTACATTTACACGATTTCACTGGGAACAATCATAAAGGCACGTGGCACAGCTGCTCGTCTAAGCTCTTATCATTTCAAGACTGGTAAGCTTTCCAGCCAGTACGACTATAAGCCTTGGCAGATGGTCGAGAACACAGCAGCATGCCTGATCTTCAATCACCCGAAGACAAACCACATCACACTCCTCCTGATCTCACCCCACTTGTTCCCAGTTGCGGTCAGAATAATATTTAACATTTCAACACTGGCTTTCAGGATTCCCACTGCAACAGCACCTCCTACCTCAATTAACTTCTTTAAGTGTATACTACCTCCTAAAAGCTATGGTCACTGAGTAAATGACACCTTGTTCTTCATTCACAACAAAGCACAAAGTCACTCTCCAAAAACTTCATCCTTCCTGCTTCTTTCTGTTGGAATGACCTCATCCCAAACTGCTGAGATGATCACAACTTTCAAGAAGCAGATGAAGACTGACCTCTTCCACAAGCATTTATCCATTCCCTACCCATAAACTAAATGCGCTCTCTCACGCACTAACACAAAACATTATAAGTCACTTTGGATGACATTTTCTGCTAAATGCATAATTGTAAATACTAACTAATAATGTAAGATTGAGCCACTGCTACACAGTTACTGGAAAGATTAAATGTGTGTGAATCATTTGGGTCTGTGAGAGTTTCAGCAGTGTTAGACAGCAGAGTCTTTTAACTTTTAATTAAACTCTAAGTACTTAAACTCAAATATTTACAAACAAATATACTGATGCTACAGCCTTGCCACAGAGAAATATCATGTACATCTCATCAAACACAAGAATGGAGTGCCACAGGGCTCAGTATTAGGTCCTCTGCTTTTCTCCTGGTTTACGCTTCCCCTGAAGGACATCATGAAATATTTGCAGACACAACCTGTGATTGGTAACTTAGTGTCTAATCTTTAAAGGGGTCATATGATGCGATTTCAAGTTTTCCTTTCTCTTTGGAGTGTTACAAGCTGATTGTGCATAGATAAGATCCCTGAAGTTGCAAAGACTAAAGTCTCAAAACCAAAGAGATATTCTTTATCAAAGTTAAGACTCTGCCACACCCCCCTAAAACGGCTCGTTCTAACACGCCCCCACATATCTACCTCACTATGTGGAAATATTAGCATAATGCCGCCCAAATGTGCACGCAAAGAAAGAAGGCGTGGTTTCAGTAACCGCAGTTAGTGTTGAAGCAGCATGTCAGGGAGACGCTGTGTGTTTCTAGGCGAAAGCAAAAGCACTTTATTTGGCCTTCCAGAAGTAGATGCATTTAGGAATCTTTAAGATTACTTACAACAGAACAGCAATGCATTTTATGGACGACCGTTTCGTGAACCTAGGAGAGGAGGTAATTCTGACTTTGCTACGAAAATCTGGCTCTTCTGAATCATCTACTGTTTTGTTATTAGCTTAAGTGTTAGAGAGAGAGAGAGAGAGAGAGAGGCAGGGTCACAGTGGAGTCAGCTGTCTTAACCGTGACTTGTGTACTGCAAACACATACCAGCTTCATCACTGTGTCTGTCACGCGACTCTGTTCCCCTTTCGGACTCTGTC